GATACAGACGCGATTTAGAGTATTGTCGGGTTTACTTTAAATGGATAATTAATTTACATGTTTAAAAAAATAATTAATCTAAAGGCTAAGATAAACTAAAATAAATACTAATATAGCTTTTTGAAAAGCTTACTGTATCGATAGGATACATTAATCTTTTTTATATAATAATTCGCTTAATTAATACTTCAATTGATTATGGGGATTTAATTAATACGGCTTGTGTAATGATCCAATAATAACATCAATTATAAATATAATTTGCTAATTGAGACTTATTATTAATAATATTATTGGGTCATTACAGGTATATTGCATCAAAGTGATTGTAAAAAAAGTAACAACTTTCTATGCAAATAATGGTTTAAACACAATTTTCAGTATCTGAATCCAGGAAACAAAATTTGTAAGAGAAAATATAGATTTAGGTGTTAGTTAATTGTGTTTATTGTTTACATTAACCAGTTTAGCTTTTTATAAGTTAGCTAAGCTGGATCTATAAATATATATTCTAAATATAAATACTAAACTATAAATCATGGAATAAATAATGTAATAACTGGTTAAATATTATATTAAGATAATTGGGAGAATTTTTTCAATAGGAACATGAGAATAATTATTATTTACTTATTATTTTTTTTAATATTAATATTACTATCACTTACACTTTATTTAATTTAAAATTAGTTCATATTATGCATAATATTTATTCTTAACGTCCAATGGGCTAAAAGTATAAATACCATCTAAAAACTAAATTTAATGGGGTGCTGAAAAAAAATATCAATATTGCTTATAATTTCAAATATATTCCCTTATAAAATCTAAATCTTTTGAGCAAAATAAAAAATATATATGAATTATCGCATATATACAACATAATTTATATGTCACACATCTACCAAAAAACCACAATTTCAAGTTGAATTTTTGCATTGAACTAGATACTTATGCTGATTTATCAGGTTCAATATTGGTTAAACCATTATTTAAATAATAAGGCTAAACTAAAATATAATAAATATGATATTATCAAAAATGAAAAGATCTTTTGTTTCTGTAATGAAAACATGAGAATTTATATAGAAAAAAATATGATAATAAAAAGTAATAAGATTCTAAGATAAATTAAATAATATTTATCTTAGACATTTAACAACAATAATGAAGTGTTTTGAATTGATAATTAATATATATTAATTCATATGAGACAATTATTACATGATCATAGCAATAAGTATATTATATTTTCAAAAGTGACTGATTTAAACTAAAATAAACTTATAGGATAATCGTACTTTTAATTAAAATATATTGATCTTATAAATGATTCTTTATTAAACTAATCATTTATATCAAATACAATTCTTTTATAATAAATGTAAAGTATAATTGCACTTTTACTTATTATAAAACATATATTTTATGTGGGGGTTTTTGTGCTAATTAAATGTATTATGTTGTTTTAGTGTAAAAAATCAATAAAGTCATTAATTTTAAAATAAATATATAATATACGATTATCAGATATATATTGTAATAAATTAATCTTTATAATAACTGAGTCAATAAGCATTTATATTATTTATTAAATATAGACACCTTTTTAGTAAATTTAGTATAATATGAGCTAGTTTAAATTAATATATATTTGACTAAATTCATAGCCGTATATCAACAAATATTATAAAATACTGTTATAAAAAAACAAATTCATATAATATTATAAAAGCTAGTTATTTTTTAGAATGTATAGGTATAATAATATATCATTATTAAATCCAAAATTAATTTAAAAAAACAAGTCTTTACATATGCTTATATAAAAATAGACGATATATATAAAATTTAAAATTTTATAAGGGGAATTAGCTCAGTGGTAGAGCGCTCGCTTTGCATGTGAGAGGCCGGGTGTTCGATCCCCTCATTCTCCATAATATTTTGCTTATGCACTTTTTTTAAAGTTTTTACAATACAAAAATAACCACTAGTGCCTAATATTTATTAAAAAAAAATTGCTTTAATATAAAGTTTTTTTTATATTTAAAGTAAGCTCATAATAAAAATATGTAATTATGAATATAAACAAGTCTCAATTAAATTTTAGTCGCTCAGTAATAAGAAAAAATTATAATGTATACAATAGGTAGGTAAAATATTAAATGATAAAAAATCAAAATAATTTAATTATATAGCATTAAAAGTCAAAAAACAGTTACTATTTTTATACAGCAGATAAAGAATACATTTGATTAATAATATTTAAAATAATAATTCTCAAATAAGAATGCATTTAAAATTATATATATTAGTACAATAAAGTATAAGAGCACTAATATAATGTGGAGAATTCATCTGTATATCTGATTTATGTCAATTTTTATTAGCAAAAATCAACAATAAAAAAATTTTTAGAATGTAAAAATAAGTGTAATTATTCAAAAAAAAACTATTTAGGAATAACAATACTGCATATTTTGTTTAATTAAATATATTAAAAGCTAGATTTTATTATTTTTACAATATTAGTAAAAGTGTTAAAATTTTTTCGAAATTAGTAAATATAAAGAAATCATAGAGTAAATGATAAAAATAATTAAAAGTTTGAAAAAAAAAAATTACACGAGCCGTCAAGCTTTAAATTATAATCTTGACCAGGAATAAAGCTGAAATAAAAATGAATTTTACAAATAGTAAAATGTGATAACATATATTTTCTTCTGAAACATTATTAAACTGTAATCTATTAGAGCTTCTAAAACATTGCTCAGATTCAGATTGCACTAAATAAGAGATATTAATTATTTTTATTTTAGCTTGCGAATAGTATATTACAAGAAAGCCCATTAAAAAATGTGAAGCTCTAAACTTTGATTATAACTTTGCTAGTATCCAAGGCAGACTTTTAGTAAGTAATTAAAGCTATCAAGCTAATAATCAGACCATAGATTTCTGCCAATAAAGTTTATTTTTTTGCGCCAGCAGCCGAGCCAATAATTGGGCAGATTTACTTTTAGTCAAATCAGCTTAAGCGAGTTTCGGTTTTCACTAGTGATTTACTTTGCCATATTGGACATTTAAATGCAGCTTGAGAAGTTAGCCATGGTAGAAAAAATGGCTTAGATGGAGGATCAGTATATAAATCACTACCAGGCCTAGCTTTATATTTACCTTTTTGTTCCCATTATATTTTAAAGCACAATACGATATAATCCTACTAATACCGTTTTATCGCGTCTGAATACTTCTGTTGCCTGTTTAATAGAACCCTGCCATGAGTACTCAAAGTGTCTCCCTCGTTTTCCTATCTACCGCTACTGCAATATGTATAGCCATAATATACCACCTTTTAAGCGCCAAAAAGAAACCCATTGCTCTTGATCCTACGTCTTTTAAAGCTTTTCAGCTGATTTCAAAAACTCAAATGAACTCAAATACTTTTCATTTTATTTTTGATTTGAAGAATAAAGATGCTGTGCTAGGTCTTGGTCTTGGTCAATGCATTGTTATAAGAGCTAAAAACCCAATTGACGGCAAACTTGTAACTCGCAGTTACACTCCAATTTCTAGGCTTGATGCTACTGGTAAAGTCGAGCTGCTCATTAAAGTGTACCCTAAAGGAATTGTTACTAACGTAATGAAAAATATGGAGATTGGAGATTCTATTGAGATGAGGGGCCCAAAAGGTAACTTTAGCTACACTCCTAATACTCTTTCCAAAATATTGATGATCGCTGGCGGTTCTGGTATCACTCCCATGTATCAAGTCATCAATGAAATTATTCGCGATCCTACCGATAAAACAAAAATAACTTTATTATATGCGAATATTGCGCATGCTGATATTCTTTTGCATAAAGAACTTGACGAGCTAGCCGAGATGTTCAGTGAAAGATTAGAAATTTGCTATGTTTTAGAAAAAGAACCTGAGAATTGGAATGGAGAGGTAGGATTTATTACAAAGGACATTATCACAAAATACACAGAAAAAGTTGTTTCTAATACAAAAGCGTTGTTATGTGGTCCTCTTCCCATGATAAAAGCAATGGAAACACATTTAGTCGATATTGGTTTTGAGCCTGCAAAAATCATTTCAAAGCCTCAAGATCATATTTTCAAATTTTAGCTTTTTTTAGAGTGAGATTACTTATTACTTGATCCTACCAATTCGCTGAGTACTAATAATATTTAATTTATTTATTAAACAAATAAATCTTATTATGAAACAAAAGCATATTTTTTTGATTAGTATTATCTATAATTAAATCTATTACAATTTATAAAGTAGTTTTAATTTTATTTAAAATTTAAGTTTTTTATTAAAAATCAATATTTAATTGTTTAATATGAATTCTTTATAAAATATATAATTCTATTCTAAGCAATCTCTAAATATAAGAATAATAGAATCGATGCGGAATATAGATGTTTGCAGTTTTTCATAACTATTTTCTAGTTTTGACAAATTCTCTTTATCACTAGCTGAGAGCAGTGAAAGATCATGTGAGACATCATCTCTATTGCATTTTATCAAGAGGTTGTGCTTTAGCATAATCTCATAGTCACGTCTTTGTATTAGTTTTGAAGAGAAATCGTAAAGGAGTTTAAGAAAAGCAGCTCGCTGTCTATTATGATCGACCGTGTATAAATAGATTGTGCGAATTGGAGCTCTATCGCTGGATTTGTGAATTTCTTGAATTTCAATAAAACCAATAGTTGAGAGTTCCATGAGCTTTTCGCGACACTTTGATGGTTGCATCATTCCGAGCTTTGCAAGAGTTTTATCGTCAACATAATTGTGTTTAGAAATAACATTCAAAAGTCGTAAACTTTCTATCCCCAAGTGATTACGAACAAAAGAGTTTAGTTGTTGTTTTCTAACAGCTTTAATACCTTTTTGAAAATCAACATAGTACTGTCCTGGTCCATTTCCATCAGTTTTAATAAGCATATTTGATTTATCATTAGATAAAAGCTCCAAAAATGAATAAACGCACTCCCCTAGCTTTTCATTGCGTCGAGTTTTTTTATTTTTGTAATATGGATTAGAGTCATCATTATTTTCTAAAATGATTAGCTTTTCAATATCAGGCTCCAAGGGAAGTTTCTCGACAATTTGTGCAGTTGAAATAGTAATAGTTTTATTATCTTGACATGACTTTAAACTATGTTCAGCAATTTCAAGCAGAGTTTTCATAACTGTGCTACCACCCAAATTTGTAGCTTGATTCATATACAATGATAGCTGATGATTTCTTAAAAATACATCCATTCTATCAAAGCACAAATAAAAATAAAAAGAATCATCAAGCTCTTCTTCACCTAAATCACTTTCATTAAATTTTTGTTTTTTGAATTTAGAATTTTCTGTGTTATTTTCTACTAATTTTCGTTTTGTACCATAAATAACACGCGAGTTGGCTTTAATTTTAATTTCAGTTACTATTGATTGTCGTATTGCATCCAATTGTTTGGTAGTTGGAGGAACGCTATATCCCGAAACGTG